AAATATGTCATGATGCAATGTTACTTTAATAAAAAATAAATCTAGGACTAATCATTTAGAGCCTGCAGTAAGAGTCGCTAAATATCAAATCTTTAGGTGTTACTTAGTAATTATATCCAAACAAACGAATGTTGTAGTTAAGAAATACCAGTGTTTTCCACATTCTCGCCCAGCAGGTTGCTGCTGCGCCTTGCTTTGATCAGAATCGACTTTGGTGAAGTAATCCCACACCGCATGTTTCGACATTCTTCACGGTGATTAACTGCTCCGTTTATTAACAAAAAATTTCTACTTCACTCAGATTCGTAATTTCGTTATCACTAATTCGCTACAGAACTATTAACTAACTGAATATCAATATTCTCAGACTTCGAATCTAGGTATCAACACGTGTGTAGACTGAAGCGAACGCAACACAAGCCAAGGCGGGCAGGCGGCTGGGAACAGACAACAGAGGCACTTTGTTGTCGTCCCGCCAAAGAGACTCCACCCAGAGATGCAGGCTGCCGTCTGTTGACATTAGCAGACCATCGTTGCGGCTGTAACCTCTCTCCCAAGCTGCTGCTGCTGACGTGTGTGTTTGCAGCCTATCGCATAGGATTGCGTAGCGCCGACTGACCGGCCGATATGCGGAGAGATAGACATAGCACTAGCGTTATATTCTAAAAATAGATCTTCGGTTGACGACCAAAAGTCAATATCAGTTTCGGCTGAAACCGAAACCAGACTGAAAGTTAAAAATTGACTTTCGGCCGAAACCGAAAGTATACCGAAAGTGGCCATTTGCCAACTTTCGGCGCCGAAACTGAATTTTGGTCGGCCTCTAACAGGAAGTGTATCGACAGGTTCAATATAACTGAAATCAGCTCCAAGGCTCTGCCTAGATGACTCTTGGCGCTCTCTGCTGGAAGGACTCTAAACCTCACCATTGAGACCTCCTTTGCCAGTAGCAAAATATGATAATTGGTTTTTTTACCCTTTTATCTGGCAATAAAACTGACACATTTTTTACAAGGAGTTATGTTTGCATAGACCACAATACCTGCGGTCGGAATTCAAACAAAACACAACTCTGATGATGTATGCACTATCCTTGAAATTGATTGGTCCACATCCAAGACAGCTTTTCTTAGAGCCTAGTCTCACATGGTGTTGGACCAGATGATCACACACACAAACCCATACTTTAACATTTTTTAAATGAACCTCCTCAGAAGTCACTAGCAAGACGCACCTTTTATAATTTAGAAAACACCGTCACCAGTTAACCAATTTACCTGAAGCCTGAAATATCGCTAATGTAAAAACACTGTCCTGAATTCATAACTGTAACTATATTGTTGCGTGATTAAAAACGTCAGCAGTGTACACCATAAACTGTTTTCCTTCATGCTGTATTGTTAAATCCTTTATATTAAGTTCGCTTGCTTGCTTGCTTGCGCGCTTACGACCGTGCAAATCTTTCGGTCGTTTTTTAACCCACTTCCCGTTATCCAATCGAGCTGACATTTTGCACACAGACTCGTTGTGCGTGATAATTTATTTTCGTGAAAACAAATTTCCAAAATTTTCAACATTTTAGAGAAAATTTTTATATTTAATTACCAATTGCTTAATGGTGGCAGGCAATCATCTGACCCATAGGTGGCAGCCATCTCAAGCCAGAGGACGAGAGGACTCTAGCCGCCCGTTTCAAAGACCAATGTGGGCTGGGTTGTGGCCCATTGAACACGTACTGTAATTTATTGTCTTGCTCTTTGTAAAAAACTGAAAACACAGCAAGGTCCTCCTGTCATGGAATGTAATGTAAACCAATCGAAAGCAAACAACAATAAACGTGTGCCTATTTTATGTATTGCTGTTTTACAGTTCGTTCTCATTTGATGGATTTTGCTTCACAAAACTGTCACCATGGTAATGATGACGCAAATGTTGACTAACCACATGGCATGAATATTCCTGCCCCCACGCTGCACAATGGAGACTTTATAGAGCAGTTAAATTGAAGCCGCCAGGTTCTTGAAAGTGGTAAAACGGGTCAACGCTAGTGCCCTCGGGAATATACGGGGCATGTCAAGAGGTATCTGCATAGTAATAATTATCTGTTAAACTTAAGAGGACATCGTAACATCGGAATGCTGGATTGACAAGACATTCTTGAAGAGTTTGTGAGTTTTAGTTTTTCTTGTGTATTCATAGTGTAAACTAACTTCTATTTTCAGTTTCGTCGTCGTATTTTTGGCCAGTATTATGTGAATTGTGGATCAAATGTGAATCGAAGGTCATATTACATCATAATGGTTTTCATTGATGAAATTTCAATAATTATAATATTTAGTTCTGTTTTACTGCTTCAGCTAAATTCATAAATTCCACACGCATCGTCCAAATTCCTGTACCAGACTTATATTTTGAGAGAGAAGAGCCTGGTCAATCCAGATCTACGTCTTATTGCGCAACTTTTAACATTTCATGTTCACCAAACATCAATCATGATCCAATGATATCTTTTAGTAACGGTAAGATTGTTCGGCGTTGGATTCAATGAATTCTCTGTATATTTATTGGTTTTGTCTTTCAGAATTCATCGAAACTCATCTCGTATCAAAACATCGACATTTTAGAAGTTAATTACGATCACTTCTAGTCATTCGATTCTCCAAAAATAACGAGGTAATATCGCTCATTATCAATCAATTATCTGCCTTAACTAATGATTCGGATTTTTAGAATTCTTCTCGACCTGTCTAGACCAAGAGCAACGAAATCAAAGTTAATCAAAGTAAAATTTCTCTTACATTCAAGTAAGTTCAATCGACAGCCCATCCTAAACTGCTAGTATAATAATAATCCATAGTTGCTAACGTGATTCAAATTTCATTAATTCTTCATTCTTATCATTTTAGACATGAGTAAGAGAAAGAGTGAGACTTTGACGCAACGGAAACGCCGAATTGTGAAAGAGAAAAAAAAGCGTCAATTGAAGAAGCAAAATGATTTGCCATCTCATCATGATTCACGAATCACAAAGCGACAAAAAAACCGATGCAAAACGAAAACGTGGAGAATCACCATCGTCCCGAGAACAACGACTCACGAAGCGACTTCACACCGCTGCGTAACGGCTACGTGAAGAATCGTTATCGCATCGTGAATCACGACTTGTTCAGCAAAGTCGTGCAGATGAAGAAAGACGATGCAACGAATCTCCATTGTCTCATGCTTCACGACTCGCTCAAAAAGGTCGTGCTGATGAAGAAAGACGACGCATCGAATCTCCATCGCATCGTGAATCACGACTCGATCAACAAAGTCGTGCTGATGAAGAAAGACGAAATATCAACGCAACAGCGGAAGCTTTTGATTCACAAGTATGTGTTTACGCCGACTGCATCTGCGAAGTATGTCACAAGCGATGTTATAAAAATCAAGTCGCCAACTGCAGGTTTGATGACAGCTGTCCTGATTATCTTCCCGTCGAGCTCTCAAACAAGAACTCGTTGCTTTTGTGTCACCGATGTAAGACGCATCTGAGGTCGAAGAAGACAACTCATCCTTCTAAAGCATATTGGAACAATCTTGATCCCGGCGTTATTCCTCAGGAGATTGCAGTTCTCACACAAGTGGAGATTCGATTGCTCGCTCGAGTCATCCCTTTTTTAAAAATCATCAAATATGATGGCGTTTTTGGACAGTATGGATTCAAAGGCCAAGCAGTTTTGTTTGCACAAGACATTTTCGAGGTAACTGAAAAGCTGCCAACGATGCTTCCTCGTTCTCCCGAGTCTGCTGGATTGATTGTTATCACCGAAACTCTGGAGAACCTCGACAAAACACGCGAGTTCACAGTTTCACGTGACAATATAAGCAATACAATCAAGCGGTTGAAGGCTAAAAACCACCTGTATCACGACGTTCAGAATGTCACAAGTACCACGCAGCTTGATGTTGAAAGTTTCATCAGGGTACAGCAGCCTCCCGCACCACTGGCAAAGCTCCCAAGTCGAATTCAGATCAATTAATACTCGACAATCATCCGGGCTCAATGGAATCAAGCTAATCCAATGTTTGGCTACAACGCAAGGCAAGCAGTGCTGCGCAATGGCAATTGGCGCAATAATTCGTTCAACTATTCTGTCGCCTTCTGAATGGGACTCCAACACAATCAATGCAATTTTGATTGAGTCGGATAGACTCTATGAGACAGTTAGAGATTTGTCCGATCCGCGATCGATTCCTGACAGCAGTTTTCTTCTTGTGAACAACTTCAATGTCGTGGCGAGTGAGATTACAATGTTTGGAGGCACCTTCTCCCTTCAATACGATCAAGATCCAGTGATCTTTGGCAGCTTACAAGATCGCAAATACAGTGATACCTCGGTTCACGAACTTAATTCGTGAACTGACTCTGGTCGCGAACCGAATTGGTCGTGAACCGAGGCACATTTTCCCATAGGGTTCAATGTAAATCCGGTTAATCCGTTCTGACCTTTTTTTTTTTGGTTTTTGAAGCACAAAAATATGAAACAAATTACAATACACATTAGTACTGTACAGTATAGTAATGTATAAAGGGAGAACACTAACCTTGCTTGAGATGACTTCTGGCATGGAGGAAGGCGGGTGGGAGGCGGTTATTGTTTGGAGGGAGAGTCCCCCTCCATAAGGACATCAGGGGGATCTCCTTCAGGGGTTTTCTCTCTCCTTTGTCTCCTCGTTGCAGGCTCAGTTTTGCTGAAAAATCTGTCCAATGTCACTTGTCTCTTCCTGCGCTGCATAACCCTCCGGAAATGAGAGACCACATTATCATTCATGAGATTTAACACTCTGTTCGTGACAGTTATGTTGGGGTGGTGCTTTTCAAAAAAGTCATGACACTCATTCCATTTTTGCATAATGGATTTTATGGCATCACTGCTAACCTCCTCCCTTTCTTCCTCTTCCTCAGTGGAATGCTCCTCAAGAAGTGCCTTCTGCTGCTCACTGTGGAGTTCAGAAAGTTATTCCGTGGTCAGCTCCTCCCTATGTTCCTCAACAAGCTCTTCCACATCAGCACCATCAACGTCCAGACCCATACTCTTGCCCATGGACACAATTTCCTCCACTACCTCTGCATCAGACCCTTCTAAGTCATGTTCACGTTCAGTGACACATTCTGGCCACAGTTTCCTCCAGGCTGAATTTAGGGTTCGGGGAGTGACCTCTTCCCAGGCTTTGTCAATGAGGTTAATGCAGTGGACAACATTGAAATGTTTCTTCCAGAAGTCTTTCAAAGTCAAGGACGTCTCTTCAGTGACATTAAAACACCTAGTGAAGAGCGCCTTTGTGTACAGCTTCTTGAAGTTGCAGATGACTTGCTGGTCCATGGGCTGCAGAAGTGGTGTTGTGTTGAGGGGGAGGAACTTTACCTTGACGAAGTCATACTCAGCATCCATATCATCCACCAAGGCTGGAGGGTGTGCCGGGGCATTGTCCATCAGAAGAAGGCACCTTTCAGGCAGCTGGTTATCAGAAAGATATTTTCTGACGGTGGGTGCGAACACCTCGTGCAGCCATTCCATAAACAATTGCCTTGTGACCCAAGCTTTGGCATTGGCTGTCCACATGACGGGCAGTCTGGCCTTGTTCACATTTTGTTCCCTAAATGCACGAGGGGTCTGAGAATGGTACACCAGTAGTGGTTTAATTTTCAGATCGGCGCTTGCGTTGGCACACAGCAAAAGGGTCAATCTGTCCTTCATGGGCTTGTGCCCTGGTAGTGCCTTTTCTTCCTGTGTGATATAGGTTCTGTTCGGCATTTTTTTCCAAAAGAGCCCTGTTTCATCACAGTTGAACACTTGTTGAGCGACGTATCCTTCTGTCTTCATGAATTCCGCAAATTCTAACTTGTAGGCTTCTGCTGCGGCCTTGTCAGAACTGGAAGCCTCACCATGTCTAATCACACTGTGGATGCCACGTCTCCTGCGGAATTTTTCAAACCACCCCCTACTGGCTTTAAATTCGTCACTTGCTGCACTTGTAGAGGGGCTTCTTTGCAGTAAATCACTGTGCAATTTCCTGGCTTTCTCACAGATCATAGCTTCACTAACGCTATCACCTGCCAGCTGTTTCTCATTCAACCACACCAACAAACGTTTTTCCACCTCTTCCAGCACTTGCGTCCTCTGCTTGGTTAACATTGTTACTCCTTTTGCAACATCAGCTCCTTTGATGGCGGCTTTGTTTTTCAAAATAGTCGAGATTGTTTACTTTGCCATCTTGTACTCCGAGGCCAGATCAGTCACATGAATACCACTGTCATGCTTTTCTACAATTTCTTTCTTCAGCTCAATGGTTATTTTCTTCACAACCTTGCTGTCACATTTACTACTGCTCTGCACTTTCTTTTTGCCACCAGGCTTGCGCTGCACATTCTTGTCACCTGCATTTCCACTTTGCACATTGTCACTTGCATTTCCACTTTGCACATTGTCACCTGCATTGCTGTTCTTGTCACCTTCATTGCTGCTCCGCACTTTCTTTTTTCCACCATGCTTCTTGGGAGCCATATTGGGAGTCCAGTACAGTAAGCACTCAAACGGGTGAACTGTACAATACAGTAAGTACAGTATTGTACAGTACAGTAGTACAGTACTGTATGTGCTAAAAAGCACACCAAAAAGCAAAAATAGATAGATAGATCGTTTATTGTCATTGTCACCAGTACAACGAAATTTAAAATGCTCACCAGTCAGGGCATCATTCATACATTTAAATTAAATAAAACAAGAAAATAAAAATATAATTAAATGAAAGATAATCAATTTATACTATATATAAAAACAGCCCAAGTATACCCACATACCCACATAAGGTTACATTTGTCATTGCACATCTCTATTTCACAATCAATTGTAAACACTATTACTTAATAATTAATTAGCATTATTGAGTGTGGTGATCGCTGTAGGATAAAAGCTCTGTTTGAATCTGTTTGTCCTTGTTTTGACTGATCTGAATCGTCTGCCTGATGGCAACAGCTCAAACAGTGAGTGTCCAGGGTGAGAAGAGTCCTTTATAATGTTCTGTGCTTTTTTGATGCAACGTGAACTGTGTAGTTCTTCCAGTGTGGGGAGATGGCAGCCGGCGATCTTTTGGGCTGTGTTGATGACCCTCTGGAGCGCTTTCCTCTGAGCCACTGTGCAGCTGGTGTACCATACACAGATGCAGTATGTAAGAATGCTCTCGATGGAGGCTCGGTAGAAGGACACCAGCAGTTTCTGTGTGATGTTATTATTCCTGAGAATTCTCAGGAAGTAAAGTCTCTGCTGGGCCTTTTTCAGAAGCTCAGTGCTGTTGGCGCTCCAGGTCAGGCCCTCCCCAATGTGGACTCCCAGGAAGCAGAAGTCTGCCACCCTCTCCACACAGTCCCCGCTGATGATTAGTGGTGGAGTGTCCGTTTTCTTTCTCCTGTAGTCTATTATGAGCTACTTGGTCTTTGCGGTGTTAAGTAGCAGGTTGTTGCCCCTGCAGTATGCTGTCAGCCGCTCCACCTCGTCCCTGTAGGCAGACTCATCCCCCCCAGAGATGAGCCCCACCACTGTGGTGTCATCAGCAAACTTCACAATGGTGTTGCTATGGTGGACGGCGGCACAGTCGTGTGTAGAGGGAGTAGAGCAGGGGGCTCAGTACACAGCCCTGGGGGGAGCCGGTACTGAGGCTCAGGGCTGTGGATGTATGACGGCCCACTCTGACCCTCTGTCTGCGGCCCGAGAGGAAACTATGTATCCACATGCAGGTGGAATGTGGAATCCCCAGGTCGCCCAGTTTTTCCACCAGTTTGTGTGGGAGGATGGTGTTGAACGCAGAACTGTAATCCACGAAGAGCATCCGCACATAGCTCCCCTGCTGCTCCAGGTGTGACCGTGCAGCATGTAGTGCTGTGGCCACGGCGTCCTCCGTGGATCGGTTCGCTCTGTAGGCAAACTGGTGGGGGTCAAGGTTTCGGGGCAAGCTTCCTATGATGTGACTCCGGACCAGTTTTTCAAAGCACTTCATCACCACTGGCGTGAGTGCTACTGAAAGTGTCGTCACAGTACTCACAGTACTTCTTTCTGTGTCTCTTCTTCTCTCCACGATCTTCCTACAGGAAGTCACGACGATGTGACAGCCTGGAAATAGCATTAAAATGGCCGCGGCTCCTGTTCATGAACCGAAGCGGAGTTCGTGAACCGGAGCATATTTTTATGAACTTTTCTGTTCGTGAACCAAGTTGTTCGTAAACAGAAGCGTTCGTGAACCGAGGTATCACTGTATCCTCCAGGAGGTGTCGGTTTCAGCCTATTTGATGGCTTACAGACACTATTTCTCAACTATTCAGCAGGAGTTTTGATTGCGAACTTGAAGAGCTACGCTGTTATGAATATCAATTACCTGTACTACTATGCTGATTCGCACTCATGTGGCCCAAAAGGAGCTGCTGCTGCAGCAAATGGTTGAGCGTGCGTCATCGAATGCAGCACATTCGATGAATTGGTTCGCATATGTAAGCGAGCAACAGGATTTTAAAATATCGCATACACTCTCGACTACATTCACGTCATAATTGAGAGCGAAATGAACTCGAAAGTCGTTTACCCAGAGCCTCAAATCGACAATGATGGTCAGCTATCACACATTTCACCAGTTGATCCAACTCATTTCTCTTCCCAACCCGTCGTCAGCTCAAGTGAACTTCAAGTGGATTCAATTCCTGTTCAAACTTCTGTTATGGCATCGATTGATGCACGTCAACCGCAGGAAGACTCGGGGTTAACAAATTCCAGGCGATGGCGGTCAATGCGAATTGCTCAAAATCTCAAGAAAGACTACCGACAACATAGTTAATGATCGACATGAGCTGAAAGCTGAGGAGTTTGCTTGGTATCACCTCTTCCCCAATGGTATTAATGGACTTAAAGAAACTCGACCGGTGCAAATCTCACCATTGGATTACTTTCAATCACGTATCATGGGCAATGATACAAGATTTCAGCGCACAGATTATCTGTTTTACGCTCTCTCAATGTACGAGTATTATCGCATAACGAGCAACATCAGTGTATTCGGAAAGAAGGTCCAAAACAACAACAAGATGGTGGAAGACGTTCATCTCTATGTCAAGAACTTACGTGGCTCGATGGCGTATTGGAATACTGCTCAGAGCGAGCTCATTGCACAGATCCGTTGCTTGGGCCCGCTAAATTACTTCATAACTTTCAGTTGCAACGATCTCCATTGGAAAGACATAATTTGTGCACTGTTGATTGCTGATGGAAATCCCGACAAAGATCCGACAACTTTAAGCACATATGATGCATAGAAACTCATTGAGAAATATCCGATCGTCGTGAGCCGTCACTTCATGATTCGAGTCAATGCAATGATGGCTTTACTGAAATCAGATGAAACAATTCTCCGTGGAAAGTTGGTTGATCATTGGTGGCGCATTGAGTTCCAGAATCGCGGATCGCCACATCTTCACATGCTGGTTTGGATCGAAGGAACACTAAGCTTTGACACTCCAGAAGGCATCGCTCGAATCGATGAAGTCATGACGTGTGCATTACCAGACGATCCGGAGATGAAATCTCTAGTCAGTGGTGTTCAACGACAGCATCACACCCAAACGTGCTATAAGAATCGTTCCGTTGAATATCGCTTCAACTTTCCGCAAATTTCAAGTGAAAGAACTCACATCGTCGCAAATACGTCTGATGAGTTCATCAAAAACGGAGGTCGTATGTGTATTTTGAAACGCAATCCAGATGAAAACTTTATCAACAATTATAATGAGAAGCTGTTAAAATGTTGGAGGGGCAACATGGATTTTCAACCATGCGGAAATAACGAATCAATTGCAATGTATCTCGCCAAATATTGTTCAAAAAACGAGCCCACAGAGATGTCTGCAGGTTTGAGAGATGCAATTCGAATTATACGCCAAGAAGAAAGTAGCACATCAGCAAAACTGTTTAAAATTTGCATGAAAATTCTACAAGAGCGACAGGTCTCTGCTTGTGAATGCATCTTTCGATTGTGTCATCTTCTTTTGAAGCAATCTTCTCGCCGATGCGTTTTCTTAAACACGCGCAAACCTGAACAGCACTACAAAGTTCTCCGTTTCGTGAATGATGAAGCTGCCGGCTATTGCAAGAACATCTTTGAGCGATATACGAACCGTCCACAAGATCCACATCAAATTTATCAATTTGAGCAGATGTCTCTGATGGAGTTTGCTATGTTATTCGAACCTCACTACGGCAAAGTAATCGATGAAGAAGATATTGGGGACCAAGATGCATATGATGATATTCCAGAAGTTCGACAATTGCGTTTGTTGACTCTTTTAGACGGAACGAAAATGAAAATCAGAAATCGCCCAGCTGTCGTACGGGTGCCAGCCTTCCGAGAAGCCAACGATCCCGAGAACTACTATTACAGTCTTCTGGCACAATACTTGCCGTTTCGTGATGAGACTGAACTGTTGAGAGGATGTAATTCATCAAAGGATGCGTTTCTGGCTAGAGAAGATCAACTCAAAGATTCAAGCAGGCTCTTGGAGATCCATCGTGCTCGAGACCGACAGTTGGAAAACGCAATTAATCAGGCCAACTGCTTTTATCAAATTGCCGGATTCAGTTATCGATGACGACATTGATGACATCGGTCAAGATGATAATAACGACATTAGGCCAAGCGACAACGAGTTTGAAGCATCGTTGACAAAGATGAATGTTGACCAAAAAGATCTCTTCAACTTTATCACGAAAAGCATCGAGAAAGAGGTGAGAGGATCACTCGATCGCGTTAGAATGTTCATCACTGGCGGTGCTGGAACTGGAAAAACGTTCACACTCAACCTTATCAAGGAGCAGATTCGTCGTTGCTATGGTGGGGAGATGGATTCGGTGAAAGTTGGTGCTCTTACTGGTGTCGCAGCAAAGTTGATCTCGGGTCGAACTCTTCACTCGATGTTCAAATTGTCGGTGCAACGCGATGGCAAGTTGACAAAACTACCCAATCTCACCGGAATCTACTTGAAATCTTTACGATTTCAATGGCGAAACACTCAATTTCTAATCATCGATGAGATCTCCATGGTTCCATACGAAATGTTGGAACATTTGAACTCCCGTTTGCAACAACTTAGGGAT